ACCATGTGTGTGTGTGATTTTGTGTGACATTTTTCTGATGAATATGATATTTGATTAAGGTCAAGTGTTTTCACTGGTACTGTTTCATAAAATAAGAAATCCATACAGAAAAGTGAAGTTTTTATGTTTCCTTGTCTTTAAAAAGGATACTGACTTCTAATGTAGTAGTTTGATCACGAAGGTATCCCAAATCTTCCTCTACTTGTGCTAAACTGGTATTAGCCATTGACAAGTTCTTCTCCAGCAAAACTTGAGCATCATTCAGAGAATACTCCAGCATCACATTAGCCTACAAACAAAAATTAACAAAGCCATGATTTTGGATACTTTAATAAAAGCTTGTCATATAAAAAGCATTAACAAAAACACTAAATATTAAATAAGACTCTTTTAGTTGCATCTCACATATTTATAAACAGTATTAAAAATGTACCTTGGAATATTTAGAAATATTGCACTAGAATTAAAAGTACAATTATATAAATAATACAATTTTATAACAGCATATTTTTTTAAGTGTGAATTGTAGACCAACATTAAACACATACCTAATGAATATTAATATCATTCAAAACAATAAAACTTCAAGCATAACTGCTATTGTAGATATAGGGGAAAGATTAAAAAAATATTTGAAACTTACTCCTAACCAGAGACAGACTTTATCAGTTGGTGGAATTTTAGCCTTGGCATAGAGTAAATCTGATAATAAAAACTGAGTTTCAAAAGATTCTTTAGAATCCTGAAAAAAAAAAAAAAAAAAAAAATTAAAAGAAATTAGACAAAAATGAATTAAAACTTAGAATAAAGAAATACTAGATATTGCACAAATCAAAAGTAACCAGTTTTAATAAGAAATGGCTTAAGTAAAAAAAAAAAATATATATATATATATATAATATATATAGATGGATTATATATATTTATTGTGTTACCTAGCAAAGAAAGACAATACTCCCTTCTTTGCTTTCACACTGTATTCTCCAGAACAAAGGTTACTATATTTTTATTTTACTTAATTTTATATTTATTCTGTCTTAGAGATTCCTTAGTAAAAATTTGTTCATTCTCAATATCAGGAATACTAAGTCATAACAGAAATATTTAAGAATATGATACGGTAATTGTTATAAGGAAAAATATTAGGTCATCACCATAAATCTTTTGCTTTCAGTTAAGAGTAAATATAAACCTAGTATTGGTATATTTTATTTTGAATTTTTAAGTAAAAGAACTAAATCTGTTTGATTTAACTTGACTAATTGCTTACTTTTATCAACAAAATAATTCTTTGTATTTATATTAAGAGAAAATGCATACAAAATGAACTTACTTTTATAGATTGTAAATGTTTCACAATGTCTAAACAGGTTTTAATATCAGGTATTTGAGTCTTCAACCTGGAAAAGTTAAAACATTCTTGTAAATTTTAATGAATTGAAAAAATTAAAAAAAATAAAATGAAATGGAATATAGTTATCAAATGTACAAATGTTTTAAAAAATTTGAAGGCTCAAAATAACAGTTATATATTTTTAGAAATATATATCTACACATTAAGCATATTACTTAAAGTAATGGATTATTCTGTGATGATATCTTTAAAAAATGAATATGTACAAAGCCATCAAAATACATATTTAAATAAAAATAATTTCAATACTAAGTGAAACTAAACTGACTGTTTGTACTGAACAGTAAATTTTAATAGATATCATTTTTTATTGGTTTCAGGAAAACTGACTTTTCAAACCTTTTAACCAGATAAACACTTGTACCATATGTCAGATTTCCAAAAGGTTTCTTAGCAACCTTTCAGACTAACACAAACATCAAAAGACTTTAATGTTTTTGTTTCAAACTATCAAAAAAATTATCACTGGCAAACAATCCCGGAAAGACTTAGTTTATGTTAACATGTACATGATTGAAAGAGATTGAAATGGTCAAAAGAAGACAAAGAGACATTTCATCTTTGACAATAAATTCACAAATAAGATAAGGAATACAATCACAGCTTTGTCTTTTCCTCAACAATAATTTAATAATGAAACCTTGTAGTGTGTTAATAAAATAAATAAAACAGTTTTGCTTTCTAGTTTACAGAAAGACATGAAGAAACAGGAAAACTTACCGGGCTTTTTTAGTATTCAAATTATAGTCCATGAATTTGTATTTGCAATGCTGTTCATCAAATCTTTTGAGGACAGCCTCAGCAGATTCATTGTTTTCAGTTTTCTTCATGAAACTATCCACATCTTCCTAAGAAAAAAAAAAAAAAAAAAAAAAAAAAAAAAAAAACTAATATGTAATAATTTACTTAATTACAGGATTTTACTTGCAACATGGAAATAAATTTCTTTCCCCATTTTTGATGATATTAAAAATATATAAAAAAAAAAACACTCATGAACAGTTAAATATTTTCTTGTGGGTACAAAATTTTATTATAGACATTAAAAAATATTTTTTAATCAAAAAGAAGAAAAAAGGTTATCATGGCTGTAGACAACAAATCAAAAAAAAAGAAAGAAAGAAAAAAAAATGTTATCAGTACTGTAGACAGCAAATTAGAAAGAGAGAAGGAAAAAGGTTACCATTAATGTAGCCAGAAAATTAAAAAGAGAGAAAGAAAAGGTTATCATTATTATAGACAGCAAATTGAAAAAAAAAGAAAAAAAGACCTCACTCTTCAGAGCTTGATCAAGGACTTAAAAGAGGTGTGCACAATGACTAAAATAGGGGAAATTTATGAAGACAAGATATACACATATATTATTGACTAATATATGTATATAAACATATCACATGCAAATCACATTCAGACCTAAAGACACTCCTTTTTACAGATGGAGGGCCGTAAAGATTTATGATATAATGTCTCTAATATTTTTAAATACATGTTCTTATGCGTCTGGAAAATCACAGGCAAATTCAAAATAATATTTTGCATAACTGGCAAAAATGAAAGAAAGCAAAGAATTGTCAGCAATCATATAATCTCATTTTTTTTTCTTGAACCTTTCACCAACTCTGCCCCAGCTAAAGATAAATGAATATTTTCTTTGCATCAATGGAAAAAAACAAATACTTCTGAATTAAAATATACTATACTGTATTGCCTGAGCTTAACCCCACTAGAATATATATAGTATAAAAGAATTAATTTGTATATTTGGCACATAAAATGAATTGGAGTTGTAAAACTAGTAGAATTTAAAAAAAATAATGGATAATACTTTACAGCAAAACTGTCTGTGGATGACATATATACGCTCCCGAAAAAATAGAATATTTACTGCAACTAAAAAACTTGGGGGAGGGGGGGTCTATTCATTAAAAAAAATGTTAGTAACAGTTAGGTATCTCTAAAATCAGGCACACTTTTAACACATGTAAAAAACAAACAAAAAAAAACCCTTGTTTTTAAAAATTTATTAAAAGCCAGGAAAATATTGGATTTCATTTCAGTTTTTGGCATTTATTCATAATTCATTTTTCAGCTTATTTTAGAAGGGCCATGAAGGTACTAGTAACAGAAACTATATCTTGATGCACTGAAATTACATACATCTTTATGCATGATTCATCCAAATATCAATTACATTATTTATAGTAGAAATCAAAGGAAAACATTACGTAATTACATATGCTTTGTTATGAATTCAAATTCACTAGCCACTAAGTATTTATTGTCAATATATAGTTTCTGTTATTACACTTTCTCCTTAATAAAATTTTCTTTTCTCATATTCTCTCACACTCAGAAACCCCTTGTGTCCTAGTGGCTTTATTGCCTTGCTTGGGATAAAATAATTAAAAAAAAAAAAAAAAAATAGTTAACAATTTTTGTTTTCAGAAATTTCAAAGACGTGTTTTTGATATTTATCCTTCTTTTTTTTTTTTAGCTCGTTCTTAGCACTTTGTCGTCATTGATTTAGAATTGTTTCCCAAAATTAATTTCCAGATAACATACAACAACAAAAGAACATTTTTTTAAAAAATGTAGCAATAAAATGGACATAAATATTGCCCACTCGTGACAATTTTTTTTCTTTTTAAATCACGAAAAGAATTTATTTGTTCAAAAGAAATAATTACCGAAGCGGAAATTACTTTTTAGCTGATAACTTAAATTTTAAAATTGAGCCAAGATTTTACGATAATTTGCTTCAGCTTCAAGATCCAATTAAGTTGATTATAGGGTGGTCCGAAAGTCTTGATCCACCAAAAAGTAATGAGAACAATAGAAGAATCAGTAATACAGTAAAAATACAAAGCACATGTATTGGATTCAGTTTATTCACTTTCATTGACGTTGTCACACATCGAAAAGATCTGTATGAACACCATTTTTGTGACACAAAAAATTATGCGGTGCCATGTTCTCCTCCTGTGTGATATTTTAATTTTACGAAGCTGTACTTGGATTGTTGCTAAGGCTCGCCGAACAGCGTCCTTCAACTGAGGGGTATTTTGGTATCGTTCATGTGAAACTCTCTCTTTGAGAATAAATAATACCCGACAGAGCTCTGAAATTTATTATGTAGAGATGACAAGACTTTCGGACCATCCTGTAGATGCCCCTTTCAATCTTCATTCATTTAATTGTCATTTATTCATGAAGAAATAAATAAATTGAAACTTAATTTAAAAAGCGTTCATTAACAAAGAAATTGAAAATATGGTTGTTGTCATCATTTGACATTTATGAAAAACAAAAAAATAATAATTTTAAAAAGTAATTATAAAGATAAAAAAGAATGATCGTGTGTGACTCCAAATTAAGGATGTTGATTATTGTTTTTTTATTACCAAAAACCGTGTCTAAGAAAAATGAGATGACAAACTGAAAGATGACCTTCAGTCAAAATAAATGAAAAACAGTTTATTATTAAAAGTAACTATTATTCTTTATTTCATTAAAATTAATTATCTAATTAACAACATTTTATGTCGTTGAAAAATAATAAGATCTAACAGGTTAGGAAAAAAAGTTTTTAAATGAGATAAATTTTCAATTATTAGGCATTATTATTTTAAAAAAAATTAATCATAAAGAATGTTCTTATTTTCAATACATTAATAACAAAGATAGAATAATGAGTTATGCCTTTACAAAAGACGTAAGTTAATAAATAAATCGAATTCAGTTTTACAAAAATTGATTTCTCATACAATTTTGCTAAGAACGGTCTTCTTTCGCGACTATTGACAGACAAGCAAGATAAATTCGAAGTCGTTATAAAAGGGCATAATAAAAATATGGTCAAAAATAGTAGAGCAAAATATTAGGTAAAAAGATAATTAATTATATGAATTAGATATAATTGCATTCATATTGTCTTACCACGAAATCTGCCCGTGGAATACCGCTGTGATTCTTTACTTCGTCAGTCTGATCAGCCGCCATGCTTATTTCTTCGAAGTCTCGCGAGAATCTGCCGAGATTCAATATGGCGATGCTGAAGGTGAGTTGGTTAACGTGAGATGCTCTCGCTTTATTTTATAACTCATTTCAACTTTTTCGATCAAGTGTTCACCTTCCGTTTTTCTCTTACTTACTTTTCCATCTAAGTTGGTTCATTTAGCTGTTTTAAAATTTCAAAGAAACTAAACGGCTTCATTTACGAATTTGCCCTAAACGGGTTGGCTATCAAGAGTTAAAAAAAAGAAGCGTTTTTCGGTATTGTCGGCCTTGTTACCATAAAGAAAAAAAATAATAATAAAAAAAAGGAAAGAAAGCCCTAAAAATGTTGCCACTCTACCTCTTTTCAATGGCATTTATTAATTTCTAATATTTTTCAAGATTAAATCTGTATTGTTGTTGCTAACCTAAAAATCGAGTACTAATTTTCTCTTTTTAAACCGTTTATCGTACATCTCACGGATGATGTTACTTTAACTCTCTTTTACCTCTTAAAACTAAAAGCGTGGTCACAAAGTGAGGGATTATTTTACTATTTTATCATTTTTTTCCAAATTATACACAGTTTCAAGTGTAATTAATTCTATAACGTGTTTTGCTTTAATTTAGTCACTTCTTGTTTATCCTACCCTTTTTGTACTACAGTGTGCTTCCGATTATAAACAAAAGGAATAGAATAAGTAGTGTAACTGGCCACTCTTTTTGTGCTATGCATATTTCTTTTACTATTCTGCACTTTTTCCTTATGATCGGATAAATATATATATATATATTACCTGTGGAATGAATAATAATTTTCACCTCATTTACTGTAATTTAATCCAATTATTTTCCCTAAAAGACCGTATTTTTTAACCATAATGTCTTCTATTTCCTTGATTTAGAAAGTGTTATTAATTGTATTTTTTATTTTCGATAATGCCTTGAAAATACATTTAAATTTATTACTCTCTCTCTCTAACTATGTTAGCATAAACAATTTATAATAAATATCCAGGCGGCTTCGGATTTTGATTTTACTTTTATTGACATCATTAGTTTACACTCATTTACACTTCACAGTAATCATCACGTTAATTAAAAAAATACAAACTGACAAAGATTTTACAATTTAAAATAAATCCCAACGCAAAACTTCTAGTGAATAAATATTACCAACAACTTTTTTTTCTATAAAATTAGAAGTACTATTTTTCTGCAACTTGAACCGGTTACCCTTTCAGTTTGTGTTCAAATCAAATTGCTTAACTTATTTAATATTGATTGAGTGTTCGCTGAAGAAAAGAAATTAAGTTTCGTCGAAACTTACCTTGCCCTCATAGCGTGTTTTTTAGTTTGCATCCGAAATAAGTTGATCATCACTTGATAAGTCATTATTTGTTCACGTTTAAATTACATTTAAAAATAGTTATCAATTATTATTTTTAAGAATGCTTAATTTAATCATTCTTTATATACTGTTCATTTGAAAATTCAGTGTTAACAGGTTTAAATTTGTTTTCGTATTTCTGACCCATCTAAAATTCACCTGAACCTGCTGGATTTTTATTTTTTAGTACTCTTCTTTTTCCCTGTAGAAAGTTTAAGAAATAAATAAACAAACATACGAAAAAAGATCGTTCTTTAATTATTATTTGTAATGCACTTTAAACAACAATTGATTCACTGAGGGTTGGGTTTCTAGAACCTTTTTATTGAATTAATTTGTATCTGTATATGAAAAATGAAATTGACTGACAATTCATCTTCAGTCCACTCCAGAAATCAATATTTCTGTCAAGTTCTGATACACGCAAAATTGCATAACTAGTTTTAACCTCTCATAGCACTAACAAAAAGATTAAAAAAAGTAATGTAATCCAGTTTGTAATAATTGTTTTTAATTTTTAATGTTTGGCATTTCATTTGATGTTGCTCATACCTTGTCAAATATAACAAAACCTAATCTACATAAATCTTCTTAGCAAAATAAAAGCTACCATATTCTTTCTGGAAAATTTTATTTTTAATGCTCAAAGAAAAATTGCATTTACTACTATTGAATATTTTTGCAAGTTTCAATAAAATTATGTATCTATTGAAAACACTTTAAACTGTTTAAAGTGTTTTCAATAGATACATTAAATTAAACATGTAATAAAATATTTACAAAAGTCATTAAAGGACTTTTTTTCAAAATGTAAGTAAAGATACATTTGTCTTGGTCTTAAAAAGATAGCCTTATTTGCTAACCATCACTGTCATTTAAAAAAAGGTACAGTTGTAGCTGGCTGATATTGTAAAGTAGTAAAAGTCTCTTTTATTCCATTGAGTAATTTGGCATTTTAAATGTCCACGAAAAACATGTTGGCAACAAGCTTTTTTTTCATGATTCATTTCACTTGATCTTTGCAGTAGATACCTTTATTAAAAATGTTTTTCTCTTAAATCCTTCATTATAGAACATGACATTTATTTATAGCTGACTGAATATGTTTTTAAAACATGGAAGTATTCTGTTAAAAATGGAAGTTCTTTAATATTGTGTATTTGATACTTCATTTTGACTTCTTGTAGACCATATTAATAATTAAATGTATCTTAAATTTAAAGCTCTCTTCCTATGTTTGATTATTCACAATGCACCTTTGTTTTAGAGAAGGAACTTACTCTCTGCCATTCTTGTACTTGTAACTTCTGTCTAATGTACGCATAATCCTGATATGAATATATAAAATAATTAGAGAAACGAAGAGTTATAGAAATGGAAAGTGAATATAGATTGCTATTTTTGTTATGGCCTTTTACTAAAAGTTTGGTTTTTTTTTTTTACCATGATGATAAACAGCCTTTTATAACCATTATTTGTAAGCTACGAGTTCATTTTTTTATTATTTTTTTTCACAGATATTTTTGAATGGAAAATTGAAGTCACTATGACTCATGAACATTTTAATTTTTCTTATTTATTGTGTGGAGGCACACTGTGTTTACTTAAATATGGTTCTTGTGTTTGTAATTTTGAAAACCTGTCTCTGCCTGTTTATATATGAAAACGAAGTTGTTATTGTTTTTTTTTTTTTTTTAATTTATTTTTAATCTTTACCATTCTTATAAAAAAAGTACATTCTAATAAATACCATTGTGAATACCATCTTAGTTTTTGTAATGAAATTTTATTTTTAAACTGCTTATGAATATAGTTTTTAATATTTTGACTGAAAAGAAACATTTCAGATTACAACAAAAATGTTTCTCACCTTACAATTATGCTGACATTAATGACTGTTTTTGTGTGTGTGTCTATTTGTATCAAGGAATAATACAGATCTGTGAAAAGCATAAAGATTTTAAAGGATGTAAAGAATTCTAAAAGAATTTTGCTGGTTTTATTTGAAAATAGTTATCAGTTAAATGGCTACTGCACAGTGTATGATAAATTATAAAAATGGCACTGACAAAACATCTTCCATCAACTCTGGCTAAGAAACAGTTAAAAGAAAAATGTATATTTTAATGTTATATTTCTCTGTGAAATAAATACAACAGAAGTTAGCTATGATTCATCTCTGCCTTAATCAGACTATAGAAATAAATGCCAGAATTTTATTGAATCAAAATATCTTTGATTTTGTTAATTTGCTAACTAGTGTGTGTGTGTGCACAAGACCGAGTAGTTAGAACATTTGCTTTCCAACCATGAGATCCAGGTATGAATCTCACTATGCTTGATTCTCGGAAAATGTACAAGATGATGACTTCAGTGTTATCAATCTGGGGTGGCAATCCCATTATTCAGCACTTTTTGGTAAATGTTGGAGAAGTATGTGATGTGTTGACCCGAAGGTTGTGGGTGAAATTGGGTAGACAGAAGTGTTTCAAAGGCCACAATTCAGCATGCCTGAGAGTTTGAGCATATGGGTGTTATTCAAACTACTGATCACGCCAGATAATGCACTCTCTCCCAGAAACTGTAACTAAGGCCTGCTCAGCATGGTTGGGCTCTGTGGGTGTTGAAGAAGCACAAAATGTACATGAGTAGGCATCTGCAACAGGGATTGACTAGCCACTGTAGCAGGTAAGTCTGCCTGGGGGAAAAAGTAGCCAGTTATATATATATATATATATATATATATATATATATATATATATATATATATATATTAATTTATTTTTTTTTTTTTTTTTTTTTACAAAGCTACATGTAAAGTGGCATTCATAAAGGCATAAACTCTAATAGGTGTATGATGGAAAGTATGGAGATATCATTATGTACTGAATACATAAAGTCTCCAAATGAAATTCTTTAAACCTGCAAATCTCATAACTTTGTTCTTCCACTCATTGTTAAAATTAGTATATTTTATTACTTTTTTGATTTCACTACAGTTACTTAATTTGTACATTATAAACAGCTTTTTATATTGAATAATTTTACTGATGTTCAGATACTAAAATGTTTTTTTTTTTTCTTTTCTTTATTGTATCCCTTGAAAAAAAACATGTCTTAACACTTTTCTTTTCAATTTTATCCAGCAAGGACAATCACAATTTGAAGAAAAATGGCCTACTATGCGCCCCACAGTCCTGAAACTTCTAAGGCAAGAGAGCGTTACAAAATCTGAGTGGCAGGGGTTGTTTTGGTATGTACCTACTTTCCGTTTCTTTATGTAAACCTTGTGTGTTATATTTATAATGAGTTAGATTTGATTAATTTTGTAAAATGCATGTCCATATAGGTGTGGAAGCATCCTGGTTTCATTCTTTTAAAAATAATTATGGATTACATATTTTACAAAAATTTAGCTTTCTGTGTTATTTAGGATTGTTTAAATTTATATGAAAATTGTAATATTTTGAGTTTTCAGATACACATGCACAAAGATTTTGACTGGCACATTTTTATCAAACAGAGCTTGACTTACTCAAGAAGCTTTAGTAGAAAATCTCAAATGTTTGATTTATTTTGCCACACTATTTTAATTTAGTTTATTATAACCAAAAAAACAGATTATATATTAAAACTGACTGTAGATGTTATTTTAATTTTTATTTATATCCATATTACATTAAAAGTAGCTGAAACTTTGTCTATATCTGGAATGGCTATAAATAAGGTATGGTGTTTTTGTCCTGCATGCTCAGTTATAATGTACTGTAATAACTTAGACAAAATATTTTCTGTTTTCTTACTATTTGTAATGTAAAAAGTAGCATTGAGGTTTGGAAAAGATTAAAGTAGATGTATTCTAAATATTTTAAGGTTAATAAAGACCTAAGGCTAAGCAAATGTAAAAATACTTTTTTGTCATACTTTTTCATGATGTTAAGGACCAATTACAATGCTTTATTCCATCTGAGCCCTTCCTTTTTATGAGCTAATTAGTCAAAGAAAAATGAAAAACTTTACTAATGAGCAAGAGCAAAAGAAGAGTAATCATAAGGACAGTGATAGCAATTGACATTGTATTTAAATTTTTGAAGATTAAAGTTGGCTGGAAAGCATGGATCTAAAAGAGAATTCCACAAAGAAGAAGTGCGAGAAAAGAAACTGTTAGTCTGGAACTTACAGTTGCATCTAGCCAATTCAAGTGCAAATTGGTGATACCTTGTCACCAGTCTAGTACTGTGCTTAAATTCAAAAAGTCTACATGCCATGGTGAAGAGCTGCTCATCTGAACAGTTGTCATGAAAGTATTTATAGAAAAGACACAGGGAGACAGCTTTATGGCATTGGGAAAGTAACTGAAGCCCAGATGCCAGTTCAGGACCAATAATATTGCTGATTCTTCTTTGCTCCTAATTGTCTTACATTCAGTGTCTTAAATGTCTGAACTAGTTGTTGTTAATAGAAACACATCTCCTTCCCATTACTTGATGGAATTTGTCATATTCACATGTGCATAATGCTTTCTCCCCAAGTAATTTAAAACTTAAATATAAAATGGATTGGTATAAAATGTTTTTTAATTAGTATAGCATGACTAATGTATATTACTTTTCAAAGATATGCTGTTTCTTGTGGCTAGATGCAAATAATATTACCATTTTGAACAATCATTGATCTTTTTGATGTTTTATTCACTTCCCTATATGCTTCAGGGCTGTGCATTCAGTGTGTTTATGGGATGACAAAGGACCCCAAAAAGTATACCAAGCTTTGCAAGATGACATCCTGGAGTTTATTAGACAAGCTCAAGCAGTAAGTGATAACTTATTTATTAAGAGAAACATTAGAAATAAAGTTTAAAATGTTAATTAAATTCTGTTTAAAATTACTTTTTTTTTTTTTCCTTGATCTTGGACTATTTTGGAAAGTTTGAATTTACTTAGAGAAACTTTTCTTTTTTGTTAATTATTTATGCAATTCCTGATCAGTTTGTGAGATCATGTTCCATTTATCAGCCTTTTATATTCCCTTCTGAATGAACCATCCTCATAGAGAAGAAATTTGTATTGTGAATACAAGGTAAATGTTTTTAATGCTTTCTAAAGTGCCTAAATTTAAGTTTCGTAACTTGTTTTTCCTCCAAATTTATTGACATAGCTTGGTCAAATAATTTTATATTTGGCTTTTTGAAACTTACACCAACGAATAAAATAAAAAAGAAGTGAACTGTCCATTATCAACTTTCACAAATGAAGTCAACTGTTATTGTATATTTAACAATTAAAATTCTAATCACTAAGTTGCTAACACTATTTTCAGCAGATTGCTGAAATGGATTTTATTTTTCTTAACATTATTAACCCTGATTTTAGTTAGTACATACATTTATATTTTTAACCTTGAAAGAATTAGTTAATGTTTAGAATGTGCATTAATTTATTTCATTGACCATAAGCATTTCAGATTTCTTGCTAATTATATTAAATGCCTCATTGATTTTCTTCTTTCTTCTTCAGAGAGTTTTACAGCATCAAGAGGATTCAGCTCTTTTGAAAGCATATATTGCAGAATGGGGTAAATTCTTCACACAATGTGGCTACTTGCCCAAACCATTTTGTCAACTGGAGGCTTCACTTGCTGGGAAAGCTCACAACACAATGCCTAAGAAAAGCCAAGGAGAGGAAAGTATTGTTCGCAAGGTAAGTAAATTTGCAAAAGACAACATTCAGAAATATATAAAGAGATATTTTTATGTTTTTTACCTTATTACTGGTACCATTACCTGGATTCTATCAGCATCGTAAATCTGTTACTTTAAACTAACTTGTCCACTTAATGGTTGTAATTTTTTATGTTATTTTCTGTATATTTATAAGTTCATGCTGTTCAAATTGTAATTTTATAGCAAGTTTAAAGCTGTAAACTTAAAATTTTATTTAAGTATAATTGAGAATAAACAAATAACAAATTGATAAAAGAAATATATTTTATGTACTTTTCTATGATACTTTTTTTTAACAATTGCTTGATTTTCTCTTATATTGAGATAATATAATACAGATAAAGTGGACTTCGTTCTCCTAAACAAATTTTTACTTGCAGTGACATAGCAATTTGTTTTCCTGTAGTAAATCATCTTTCTAAAACTTGAGTCAACCATCTCATATTCTGCATTGAAATGGCCATTTTCTATAGAAACTGGCCCCCCCCCTGACCTCCGCAATGTATTTTGAATACATTGCATGCTTTTCATCCCATTAGACTTATTCTAAATATTGTATCTTTCAGATGATGCTAGATACGTGGAATCAGAGTATTTTCAACAACATCAAGCATCGCTTGCAAGACAGTGCCATGAAATTGGTTCATTCTGAACGTAATGGTGAAGCATTTAACTCCCAACTTGTTATTGGAGTCCGAGAATCTTATGGTAGTATTTTTTTTTATATACATATATTTTAGATTTCTTTCTTTTTTACAATTATCAGTTTCATGCCTAAGCAGTGCCATAAAAGACCCATTCACAATCAAAATAGTGAATGGTTTCTTTTACTGCACTGCTTGATGATTGCCTACATATGAAAGGGATAGACACAGAAGGGTTAGAAATCAGAACTTAAAATATTTCCAATTATATTTTAAGTTCTGTATTATAAATCAAACACTTTTGCTGTTTTTACTTCATATACACTTTCTGTGCAAAATCTTACACACACACACACACGTGTGTATATATATATATATATATATATATATATATATATATATATATATATATATAAATCAAGCACTTCACACTCAATTTTACAGGTGTTAATCTGATACCAGAGATATATGGTAAATTATGTTTATGTTCTAACATACAATCACAAACATCAAGAATTATTTGTCATCAAAATATTTTAAATTGCATATAATATTATTGTAATAACCACTTGTGTCTCCTTAAATTCCTCAGTTATGTTTGTCTATTTGTATAGTTTTTTTTTTTATTATTATATTTTTAGTTCTCAAACTTTTCATGAAAACTAATTTGAGAAGTCTCTGAATAATAATGATTATATGCTTGTTGTATTTTCTTCATAGCAATAATGTGCACATGAAAGATGGAGCTACTTAAAATATGAAAATTAAGTTTTTATATAAAAATATTTGAGAATGAAAGAAAATTATTTAAAATAATGACTAAAATATTCTCATTGCCAGTGAATATGCAGAAAAATCAAAACTTTCTTCTTTGGATTAATGCAGAAGCACATTTTAATCAATCTATTTGGTTTAAAGAAAAAGTATTTCTCTCACTTAAGAATTGTTTCAAAAGATATTATGATTGAAGGAAAAATTAGGTCATTGACAGCCACTTACTTAACAAGTGGTTATATCGACATGTCAAAAATCATTATATAGATGTCTAATATTGTATAGGATGACTTCTATCCTGACAGTGTAACAACTCAACATAGCATTGATCCTCCAAGTAGTTAGAAGACATCTGGAGAGAAGTTGTCATGTTGGGTGCAAATAAACCTCTCCACTACATCTTGTATATGCTTAATTGCAGGAATTTGTTGGCCATACCATTCTTTGGAAATTTCCAGAATGATTGTCAAACCAATTCTGAGCAATTTGGAGATCTGATGACTCAGTGCATTATCTGTCTGAAATAACGTTATTGGGGCAGATGGATTCTATGAACGTGTGCAAATGGTCACAAAGTAGGGTAATGTGTTGGTCACTGGTCAATGACATGTTTAGGCAGAGCAACAGGCCTGATGCATACTACATGAGCACATACCATATTGTTCTATAACCATTACTAGCTTGCATGATAATGTGTTCACAATTAGGCCTCCATGGTCTTATGGAGTCTGTGCCACACTCAAACTATACCATCAGCCCAAAAGAACCATAACTCATTAGACTCATGTTGCCAGTCCTTCAGGTTCAAATTCGCAGCATTACAAGCTCTGGTAAGGTACTGTGTCCAGTGTCATGTTAACATGGTGGATTTTTCTGTTTCTATATCCCATGAAATTTAAAGAATGCTGTATTGATCTGCTGGATATATGCATCTGTTACCCACTCTATTGAATGAGGATATTATTTAAGCCAGTGTCACATGTTTGTTGCTACAGATAATTATATCCTTTGGTCAAAATCATTAAGTACCTTTAGTCAACAACTGTGATTTCAACAGTGGGAGCTAATACCTTCTATCAGATATTTCCAATACGCACATGTTCCCATAGCTCAAATGGTGTCAGATGTCTCTCGTAATTTCAGAAATGCAATATTCCATCTGTCTAATACTCATGATTGTGTCCTGTTCATCTTCTAATAATTCATATTGCTTAGCCATTAGCAACTTAGCCAGTATTCCCACTGATTCACTAGATTTCAGAGCACAACTGACATAGGCCATGACACTTACTGTTACTGCTGTCCTGTAACTTTTTTTCTATGTCTATATAATCTGCTTTTTTTTTTCTATTTTTTCCTCTCACGATTCCTGTTGTGTGGGCATTTATTTGTTATTTATGATTTTTCTTTTAGTAAATCTGAGCTCTGATGCTGAAGACAAACTTAAAATTTACCATGAAAATTTTGAGAAGGCCTATCTTGAGGCTACAAAATCCTTTTACCGTGTAAAAGCACCACAATACCTGCAGGCAAATGGTGTACAAAATTATATGCGTTTTGCTGATGCAAAACTAAAAGAAGAAGAAACACGAGCAAAACGTTACCTTGAAACGGGCTGGGGTTGCACTTCAGTTTCTGCGGTAGGTTTTTGTTTTATATACATTCCTTAGACTTTGTTAAATTTTTCTTGATATTTGAGTAAATTTCTGAAACAAATCTCTTAATACAGTTTTGTCATTTTTATAAACTGCATGATAGAACCAGAAAAGATGTCCTTTATAGAAAATTTAATCATAACTTGTTAATGTATGCAGTTTAGTTTTATTGAATTCCTTTATTGTTTTAATCTCCCAGTTGTCAGTATTGTTATTCTTCTTTATAAAGTTACTGATCATTATCAAGATGTCCATTGGTCTCGGATTTATTATTCTATACACTATTCACTTTGTATGTTTTAACATTTTTTTTTTTTTTTTTTTTTTTTTTTTTTCTTGACTTTAGATCTCACTCAGTACACTATTTTATTCTTTAAATTATCTCCTTAATAATAATAATGTCTCAAGTGGTTTATGGAATAATGTGCCAATCTCACAAGATTATCTTTAAGAAAAACCAGGTGTGAAGGGGGACATTTTCATTACAGTTGCCATCTACATTATATCCCTGGTATATAAGAGATTTTAAAAGGGAACATAATTCTTGAACTGTCCAAAGTTGATAATGTTTTTGTTTAAATATTTTTTTCACCATCTCCAGTCCTTATAAAGAACATTAATGTTATCAGTACTTTAGAGACATTTTTTTTTTTTTTTTTCATTAGCTTCACCTTGGTGGTTCAAGGGATGATATATTACTAATTTAATATTGTGCATTGTATGACATCATATGTAGGATTTTTTTTAATTAGTTCATTAAGAGTCACAAAACTTGGCAACACATAACGATAAAGACCTTATTAACCTTATTTTCATTTGATTTCATCTGTTAACATTTTTTCTTATGTATATTGAGAGTTGCAGTAGAGTATTTTAGGGTTATCGATTAATATTTCTCATATGTTAAGTTATATTTTGGCTGTTTGTGAAATGATGATTGATATTTGTACAAATCTGTGTTTCAGTAAGTGGTAGGTTAACCCATGAAAGGATTTGGTGGTTGTGTGACCAATAAAAGAATTTCATTTTTTTTTCTCACTGATCTTCAATTAAATATGATAAAATGCTACTCAATTAAACACACACAATTGTGCATTTAGGTAGTAATCCTTCTCTAATACATGTTTCATTGAAAAAAACTGACAGGGTACTTCTGTTAAGATTTTTATTGTATTTTTCTTATGTGTGAACAAGTGATTTGTTTTTTGTGTATGGAAAAAATGTTCAAATATTTGCTTTTGGATAATCTGTTAGACATTTTCAAGGATTTGGGTTGTGCTATTGCAAATGGTGTTTAGATTCTAATTCTCAAATAAGGCCAGTACATTGTTGGTGTTCATAGTTGATTTTATTAAGAGCTTCTTTCTTTCTTTTTTTTTTTTTCATTAAAGCTTCTAGTATTTTTTTAACACCTTCTATACTTAGAAGCATGTATTATTTTTTGTGTTTTTGACAAGTAATTTATGTTTAGAAGTTGGTATGATTTCATGTTGATTTAAATACATCATTATAGGATTCTAGCTTTAGTGATGTAAGGTCAGCTGTCTGTTAATATAACACTACTTTAAATGCTGTATTTTAGTTAGGTACCTCCACGAGATCGCTAAAAAAAGAGCATAGCATGATGAAAAAGACGCCAAACTTGACGAAAACAAAATGTTATCGTCTAAATGTTTGTTATTCATTAAGAGGAAAGGTCAAAGTATTTTTTTGGTATTTTTTTTCCATTTTTTAATCGTTCCTAGCACGTCCAAATTTTCGTTAAAAATCTAGTTTTTTTTTGAGTCAGCAAAATTGACCATTTTTTTTCCATTTTAAAAAAAAACTGGAAATCTGATTTTGAAATTTTTTAAATATCAATTATCATTTTTTCAAAACTTATTTTAAGAAAATCAGAAATTATAATGTTTATTTAAAATATTTTGAACCAAACTTAACTTAGCTTTTTGTGCCAAAAAAAGATGTAATTTGAAAATAAAACAAAGCAGGTCATAAACTTTCGCGTCTCTTGACATGTGATGAATGATATATTTACGAATTCCATGAGGCTAATTTGTTCTACGGATGGAGAAAAGTGAAATAATTTACATTTACGTGAACAAATTATTTACCCGTTATTTTTAACGAAAACTTTCAGCGGTCTAAATTTGTTTTTTTTTTTTTTTTACTTAGCTTTCACCTTTACGTTTATGATGCTTTATGGGAAATATATTGTAAAGAAATTAAAATAAAACTGTCAAGAGTGACATTAAATTTCATATTTCTTAAGAAAGGTATCTAATTAATTTATAGGTACCTTTCTTATGAAATTTTATCAGAATTGTACATAAAATACTATAATTTTATGTACATTTATTACATTCTACTGTTATTTGTATTTGCATTCATTTTATTATTAATTTTGATATTTCATTTATGGAAAAATGTCGTAACTGAGATTAATATAAAAATAAGATCATATAAATTTCATAAGATGATACTGATACTTGTAGGTAACCTTCTCAGTTGAAATTGAAAAATCAAATTAACTTCTCCACACGTGTTTCACAAAAGTAAAGGCCTTAACAGCGGAGAACAATGCTTAACTCAAATAACGCAACTTAATTATATTCTGGTTGGTCTTCCGTATTTTTATAATTACAGCTCGATTATAAGCACAAAATTTACATTTCTTAATTACTGGGTATCTTCTGATTAGTCAAAATGATACAATTTACAACGCTAAAAAAAGATCTATCTCATAAGGACACTTATGAAAGCCTGTCTGACTTTTAACTAATTTTATAATATTTTAACAACTTAAATGTATTATAATTAATGAAATAACAAATAATTGTATTAAAAATTCATTTTTCATCGAAAAATTTTTTTGCTTTCAGAAAATATTGTCCATATTCATAAAAACAACTAAAAGCAAATAAAAGCAATTGAAATTAAATAATATCTTTGTTTTATTGAGTTTTGTATGTTACAATTCAGAGCTGATTTTCAGGTACTGGGTATCTAATTAAAAGCAAAAAAAAAAAAACATGATTTGCATTCCTCAAAGCCCTGTGCTTTTAATTATTGTAATCACTAAAACCGATGCGATCAATTTCTAGCGTTTTCATAAAATTAGTTATGGGGGTAATAAATATTTTAAAAATATTTCTACCATGACTTTCATAAGAAAAAAACATATTTATAATAATTTCGATCATCTGTGAATAGTTCCTGAAAGTTTCATTAACATTCGATAATTATTTCTATTTTTGCACGATTTTTCAAATTAATGTGTGTCATACCAAAAAAACGTGCTAAAAATTGTCTGTTATTTACTAGTTCCGCTGATACAAATAGAAACAAGGTTTTTTAATCAAAATTTAGAATTTTCTAAAAAAGAAGGAAAATTTTTTAAAATAATTAAAAAAAACTTTGGTCTTTCCTCTAAATAATAACATAAGCATTTAGACAATAAAATTTTGTTTTCGGCAAGGTTGGTGTCTTTTTCATCAAGCTATGCTCTTTTTTTAGCGATTTCGTGGAGGTACCTAATTTTAGTGGATAGCAATGTTTGAGTAGATGTCCCCTTTTATTTTTTTTTTAATTACAGTGAGAGTTGTATCTACTGGCCTGTGTATTCAAGAGAAAAAAAAGCATGGCACAGGTTTGTACCCTGCCAGAGGACACAATCTCTTTATTATGGCACTTGAATGTACAGGCCAGTAGATGTAATTAACACTGTTTTTAAGCAGGGTGTCTACTCAAACATGTTTATCCACTAAAATATAGCATTTAAAGCATATTGGACATCAATGAGATGTTATGACAGACCTTTCTGTATCTGTATTTTTATTGACATTCGCTACAACATCTATAGCAAGTTAATATTTCCAATGTGGAGTGAAACCAAAGTCTTTTAGGATATTAAAAACCAAACAGCTGTAGATATCGAATTGTTCAAATATCAGTAGAAGCATCTAATTTTAGTTAAATTCATTCAAGATGTTTGCCTTTTGATTGGATTGAGAAAAAGTGTCATATCAACATGTTTTTTTTTAAAAAAAAAAAAAAAAAATAGACATATTTTATTGATTCTCACAGAAGGTAAAAATAAACAGCACTTTTGGCTTATGCTTTTTTTTAAATTTAAAAAAACAAAAAAGTAATTCAAAAATTTGAGAAGTTTATGGGAAAGTACTGTAAATGACTGCTCACAAAGTTGTGAAATTTTGTAACATTTCACAGTTGTGTAGATCATTTGTGGTTGATAGCAATCAAATGAATATCTTACTTGAGAATGATAAATTCTAAATGATGTACTGGACGGCAAACATACTCAGAATATCTAAATCAAACATCAAAAATTATTTATATCAATTTCACTATTTGATTTCAGGTTTCATTTCCACATAAATGAAAAAAAATAACTATTGATCTTTTATTTATTTTTATGATAAGAGGTGAAAAATGGTTATTTTACAAGATGGAATCATAAGGCAAGAAAAATGAACTACCACTAACCATACCAAAAGCTAGTCTTCATCCAAAGAAGGAGATACTCTATGTATGGTAGATAGGAAGTGTTTTCTGTTACAAGTGAAAAATTCTTTGGCTGGGAAGTTTTGACTCTCTCACAACATTCACCAGATAACCATTTAATCCAGTCTTTAGAGAATTCTCTTCTCCGCTATTAATATTACTTCCCTTTCTATTGCATTCTTTTTGAAGGCCTCAAAGTTTTTTTCTGTTGCCATAGCAGGATATGACAACACAACTATGAAATTCAAAAGCACTATTGTTCAGGGATCAGTCACCTTCAGTGGCAGGATAAACATTTTGTACAGCAAATGAAGTCACATACGGAATGATAAAGGTTAAAAAAATTTCACTTCCTTGGAAAACTGTATAAGGCACCTAGAATAATTATTTGCTGGGAAAGGGAACTTTTTGTTCTCTGATAAGATAGAATTATGAAGTTGTATAGAAAATAGAACAAATTGATTGTTCCAAAAAAAAAAAAATGAATCTTCTTTTTCTGTATAATAAACCAGACAATATTTTGGCCACCTCATACTCAGCTAAATTATGTAAAGAATATTGAAAATAACTTGGGACTTGAAAGTATAGTTTTGATTTGCTTCCAAATTAACAAAGATTTAGATACAATGCACAGTTTAGCAAAAATCTATTTAAGAATAAAAGTTATGTCAGAAGTTATGCTTTTATGTGAAAATTTATTTCAATATGAAGAAATTCTTAAAAGTTCTCAGCATAAAGAGATGGTGGGGACAATATTGGTTTGGATCAGACAAAGAGCTTTTAAGTAACATACTTATACCTATATATTTAGATGTTTTTTGTTTTGTTTTTTATTATACATTATGTAATTCACTAGTCTGGCATTTGAATACAATATTTATATATATATATATATATAAAAATAAGTATCTTATTACTTCATACGTATGCATTGTCATATGTAATTTCTTTTGCAGTTAGTAGATTGTTGTGTGGATGTGTTGGTAACAGCATTCAAGGATACAATACTACATGAATGTGCTTCAATGATCAAAGTGAACGAGACAGAAAGTAAGTTAATATCTCAGCCAGTTTGTTCATTGAATTATTTACTTCTTTATTTTAATATTTGAGGAAAATCAAAATATTCTAAATGCTGATAAAATGTTGAAATTTAAAAAATAAGACTAGATATGTGCAAAAGAAAAAATGCATTTTCAAAAACAAATCAAGATGAAAAAAGGTCCCAAAGAATTATTAAATGATTAGCAGATATGAAAACTATTGAGATTTGATTATCTATGATTTTTGTGTGTGTGTGTGTGTGTGTTGGTCAAGAATATTTTTGAATAGATAGTAGTTTTAAAAAAAAATAACTCTTCATAGGAAAAACCTTGATTAAAATCTGCACTAGAAATAAGTTCTGCAATTTAGAACATTATATCAGATACGTTCTGGTTGTAGACCTTAGTCATAATTTCCCAAACTTATTAATTTGCATAAATGCATTGAATTACTGTAATTTTTTAAAAATTACATTTGTCTTGATACTTGCTATATTGCATGTAAATAACTTCTGTTATATTTCTTCACACTGAGAAGGAATTTTTAGCTCCAATCTAAAATTGTCATTGTAGCAAAGTTTTTCATTTTGCTTAATGAAGTGAAAAACTGTTTTTTATTTTCTTTAATAAAATTTTATTTTATTTTTTTTTCTTTTATCTCTTATTTCTTTTCAGAATTACGTTTAATGTTTAGTCTTATGGATAGAGTCCCTGATGGTATCGCTCCCATGTTGCATGATCTTGAGGCTCATATTGTAAGCCAGGGTTTAGCAGATATGATGTCTGCTGCCAGAACTATCACCACTGTGAGTAACAAGTTTTTTTCCTTGGAATTTTAATAGCTTGTTTCTTTTTTTTTTTTTTTTTTTTTTTTTTTGAAATACAAATTGTTTCAGCACATAATGAAAATTTTGTATTTATTTTTGTTATAACATTTGGTTAGAATTTAGTTATTAATAATGCACAAAAATATCTTTGGAACACAATTGTTACAAAAAACAGCAAGGGGTTTGATCCTCACTGGGCATTGAACACAAAAGTAACCTTAGTACAAATTACTGTATTTGGTAAATCTCCAGTATTCTATTTTGAATATGGCTCTAGTCTTATTTATTTATTTTATTTTTTTTCTACAGGATTCTGAAAAATATGTTGAGCAACTTTTAGAATTATTCAACAAATTTAGTAAATTAGTTAAAGAGGCCTTTATTGATGACCCACGGTTTTTGACTTCTCGAGACAAGGCTTACAAAAGCGTTGTCAATGATATATCAGTGTTTAAATTAGAGTTACCAAGTAAAACTAAAGGGTAAGTCTTTCTTCATATTTCACTCTTTGGTGCCAAATAATAGAAGAAAATTCTCTTAATAAAAATTTTCACAGCTGTTTCATTCGTATCTTTTGACTCCATTTGCAAAACATTTTTTTTTTTTTTTTTTTTTTTTTTTGAGTTGTTCTTATTAAAAGCAAAATTTGTTTTTTGAAACAAGGAATGTGTTTAAACTTACAAGTAAATAAAACAAAAATATTTGCTGTTCATAAAGTCAATTTTGAATTTTTTTAGAAAAATCATTCACTTAGAAAAACAAATTAGATGTTCTTGTCTATATAAGAAATGTTTTGATGGTTATTGTTTGAGAATATTTGTAGTTGTTTAAAAAAATTGGTACTTATAATTTAGATACAATTTTTAATAGAAAGTTGCACAATTAGCTGCTTATATTGATGAGAAACTGTTGAGTCTACATGATTTGGCTTTAATTTTATCATATAAAAAACTTGTTTATTTGAATACTTTATTATTTGGAGTCTTTAATTTTATTAGTAAATCTATCTTCTTGGTTACCTCTTGCTAGTATGAATGTGAAAACTCAGCCAGAGTCTCGATGTCCGGAACTGCTCGCCAATTACTGTGATATGTTACTCAGGAAAACGTCTTTGAGTAAAAAACTCACTCCAGAAGAAGTGGAGAAAAAACTAAAGGATGTGGTAAGTTGATTTAATTAGTTCAGCATTTTCAAAGATGGAAAATTCAACTATACTTTCCAGTTCTTTATGCATGTTTGAATTAATTATTGTGTCTAAGGTAATTTTTAGGTTTTAAAATGTTCCGATGATTCCCTATATGATGAAATAATTTCAATGTAATTCTGTAAAAATATTTGGTTTAGATGAAGTAAAATTTTCAAAACTTTTTTTAACTTTTGATTTATTGCTCCATTTTTATCTTTGACAGTAATAGCATTAACAATTACAATTTTTTGTTTATTTTATTTTCATCATCAAAGAGCAGGATTAATGTATCAATGTCATTACTAGTATGAAACCTCTAAAATAGAATGATGACAGTCTTATTTGCACAAGGATTACATTCAATCTTGTTATATTTAAAATTATTTTTTAATTATTTTTATTCTATTTTCTTTTTCAGTTGCTTGTCTTAAAATACGTCCAAAACAAAGATGTATTTATGCGATATCATAAAGCTCACCTCACCCGCCGCCTCATCCTGGATACTTCAGCAGATAATGAAAAAGAGGAAAATATGGTTGAATGGCTTAGAGTGAGTAGTTGCTATTTGTCCTCCATGTTTCCATTTTGTTCAAATTATGAAGGTCTAGACAGTATTTCTTTGCTTTAGTGATTAACTGTTTATGACAAGCTGCTATTAGTGTGGGACACCCATGGACGGTCTTGCTAAAATAATGATCTTAGCAGGTTTCATATAAGTCCTGTAAGCCTTGAATAATCCTTAAAAATTGACTGGGCCTTTTCCATGGCTTGAAAAGTCCTGGAAAAAAAAACAGCAATAGCTCCTTGAAAATTGGGCTGTCCACATATCCCTTTTTTCAATTCACAAAAGTCAAAATGCTAAATCCCAGAAATTTGGCTTTTTTACAAGCTAAAATTGTCTTTTTTGGCAATTATTGTGAACAGTGATCTGTTTCCTTGATTAGAACAAGTTCATGACATCATAGTTACTTCTGTATTTTCTTGTGTAGTTGAAAGGTAGAAAGAATATGAAAGCGTGTCTTCTTGGTCCTACCCTCACTCAACAAGAAAAGCAAAGATAAAAGGTGTCAGAGACATGTAAACATGTTCAACAAAGATAAATTAATTCACACTCATTGGATTTGTAGCTGAAAGGAAAATAATAAATTATTTAACAGTAATAAAATACATTTTAGTAGAATCTCGAAAAATTTATCATTTTTTAAAATTTGAACAATTGAATAAATGTTATTCACATGTCAATTTAAAAAATAAAAAGTCCTTTTGATCTCTAGTCAGCAGGTGGGTGAGTTCATGCTGAAAAATAGATACTTTACACATCCAGTGTCAAACTACATTTGTCTAAATTGTCAAAATAACAAGTTTGAGAATCAAATTTGACTCAAGTAAAAAAAAGTTTTATCATCAAAATGTTTGTTATTCAGAAGAAAAAGCCAAAGTATTTTTTATTATTATTTTATTAAGTTTTGTAATTCTTTCTAGCACGTTCAAAATTTTGGTTACATTTATTTTTTTATTTTTATTTTTTTGTGTTAGCAGTTGACATAATATTTGCAATTAGTGTTTTAGCACTTTTTTCCTGGTGAAAAACACATTGATTTGGAAATCCATACAAAAATCAAATAATTATTAAATTTTAATGAAACTTTCAGGACTTATTCCCAAATGAATTATTTTGTAAATTTTTGCAAAGGAAGATAATTTAATTTTCCAAACTGAATGAATTTGTAAGAATTTTATCAAACCTAAACATGCATAAAGATGCTGCAAAGATTGAGTGTGTATTTTTGCAGATATGGCGATGCAAAATTTATCCAAAAAAGGAAATTTCTCAACAAAATATGTTTGTCTTTGTTGCAGTTTTACATGCAATGTTCATCACCATCATTGAGAAATTTCTGGCAAAGTCTCCTCTTAGATACCCTCCTGTAATGTCACTTGCATGGCTGAACCCAGGATCCATTTGTGAAAAATATTTGCCACAGAAGACAATCTAAAAAGATGTCTTTCCTACATGATTGACAGAAAACAAGCCAGCAAGTCTGATTGTGATGACATCAAGAGTTTGAGGAGGTTACTGGAAGCATTTCAACAAGCATGAAGACAATCTAGACACTTTTTTGTATTCTTCTTTGTCTAGCAACAAAGAATATCAAAAACTGTGAAAAGTTGTTTGCAAATTGCTGGTACTCTCTCATGGGCAGGCCTCAGTGGGGAGAAGTTTTTCAGTCAATAAGGAAACGTCCTCTGAGAATATGAAACAGCAAATGCATTATCACAGAGTATTTGGCCACAGTTGGAGGTGGTCAAAATGTTCCCATGACTAAGGGTCTTCTCTGCAGTGCTTCCAATGCCAGAACAGCATACAACCAATACCTTGAGGCGGGGGTGGAGGTTTGGCTAGAAGAAACAGCTGGACAAAATCAAAATTCCATGTTTATGGAAATTCAAGAACTGAAGACCAAAAAACACAAGCTTTGCTCAAGTTAGCTGATAACTATGCAGAGAAAACTGAGCAGACTGAGAACTTCACAAATTGCAATGTCCAATGCCATGCGAAGATCTGCAAAGGAGAAATCTATAGAGAGATTGAAATTAGAAGATCTGAAAGCTAAACTAGATAAACTGAAAAAAATGTTAACATTATTATGTACTGTGCAATGGAAGCCATAAGTAGTAGGGGTAGCTAAAATGTATAGTCTTTTTGTGAAAATTTCTATTTGTAGTTCTGTTCATTAAAACCATTATACTTAACTTCACAGGAAATGCGCAGCAATCACAAACCATAGAATAGTCTAGGTAACTGAAATGCGTACCAGGATGAATTAAAGTGTGTAATTCAAAATTTTCAAATGTAGTAGAACTACAAACTGTATAGAATGCACACAAAATGTGTAACAAAACCAGGTGTACATTCTGTTGTGTTTTAACCTTTAACAGTTGGATTCCTTCACTGCTTTCAACTGATCTATGTGACATGAATTATTGGAACCAGCTGTAGCTTTTCTTTGAACATCTCATCTGTCAAACTCTATTAAAAGATAAATCACAATGTTTGTGTCTTTGAAATTGATAACCATTCACTGTGTGTGTGTATGTATACCATAGTCCTGGATTTTTTTTTTACACAGTTTTGTAAGAACTTTGTCTTAGATTAACCTGCTCAACATTGTTTTATAGCAAAGTGGCTTTCATTTTGACTGTCTGGCACAAGGCCAATGTGAAACAGCAAATGAGAATCAAATAAATCACAATTCATCTTTAGGTGGGCTCTGATTCTTGCATTGGTGTAGGTGTCCTCTCTTTCATAATTACTCTTGGGTAATTAGTTCATTAAAATAAAAATTAACCAACAAAAATGTTATTTGTGTGTATGTGTAACAGTTTGGGATATTTTAATTTAAACATTACCTGAAAATATGTTAGTTAAGCAATTACCAAATGTTTCTATCCTCCTCCCCCTCCCCACTTGTTCTTTAGTTTAAATGTCTGATTTTTTTTTTTTTACAGGAAGTGGGTATGCCAGCAGATTATGTAAATAAATTAGCCAGAATGTTCCAGGATATTCAAGTCAGTGAAGATCTAAATCAAGAATTTAAAGAAGTCTTTCGGAATAATAACAATGATGCATTAGCAGGTAAATATTTTTCATCAAATTAGAAAATATTTGATTATAATCTTTTTCTTGAATTTTTGTTTGTAAAATTTTACAAATCTTGGTTATTAACTGTAGAAAAAAGAAAAGAAAAAAAATTGCAGATTTGATGGCTGATGTTATAAATCAGGTACTACTATATTCATTTTCATTTCAAAGTGATTCAGAATTGAGGATTACTAATTGTGTGCAGAAAATAGCTTAGATTTGGCAGAAACTCTTTGTCTGGATATTCAAATTATGTAAAAGGAAAATAGCCATTAATACTCTTCTAAATGTGGGGAAGAGTTTTTCAATTTGTAAATTATTTTTATTGATATTTCAATATAAAAATACTAAATAAGATATAAAAATACTTAGGTAATATTGCTATTATTCATTGAATGTCTACAAAACTTGATACATTTTAATTTTTTTTTATTTTTTATTTTTTTATTTTTTTTTTTTAATAAAATTGGGGTGTGGGAGCAGGTCAAAAGTTGCAGGTAATAAAAGAATATACATTTTGATTAAGAAATGTACTTTTATTGTATTTTTGCTTTAATGAAAAATATTTCATCTTTTTCTTGTAGATGCAATTAATATAAAGATTTTGAATGCTGGTGCTTGGGCTAGAACAAGTGATCGTATTTCTGTCACATTACCAATGGAATTAGAGGACTACATTCCTCAAGTTGAAGAATTCTACAGACAGAAACACAATGGTCGCAAATTACAATGGCACCATCTTATGTCCAATGGAGTTGTAAGTAAAAAAAAAACAAAACAAAAAAAAACATAATTCTCAATTCTTCAGTCTTTTAGTGTCTTTGATTTATTCATTTCAACTATCTGATTATTCTGTTAGTTATCCACTGAAATTTTTTTCTCTATTCATGCAATCATGAATTCCATGACCCATTAGGGTTGTAGTGGCACCAGATGTACTGCAGCCTCAGTAGAAGTGGTGTTTCTTGGGCAAAAGAGGCTGATGGAGCCCAACTGTCTTCAGGCCGGTTTTCAGAGTTACCTTTTCCTAGACTGGTTGTCACAACAAGGCTATAAAAACCAGTCTGTCGTGCTATTTACCTATAGTTTGGGGTGGGGGGGGATTCATACTTTTCCCAAGGGTATTAACACGTAAGTCAAATGTAATGGATCCGACTGGAATCTGAACTCTGCTCTGATTCCTCAATCCAGGCCACTATCCACTATACCCTGTGCTTTATTCTTAATAAATAAAAAAAAAGAAAAGTTTTTCTTTACCTTAAGTATTGTGGCTAAGTGTGTGATTGGTTTAATAGATTTCAATAAGGAAAAAAAAAATTTAATTGGTTGTAATTTTCATAATCTCTTCAAGAATAGAAATATACCTTCTAATTGGTAAAATTACATTTTCTTAATCAACTCATAAACACTTGCCCATATGATAATCACATTGCTTCTTTCATCTGTAGATATGAACATAGCTAAAATAGTTTTAAAGTAAATTTTAATTTGTACCCCCCCAAAAAAAAAAGGAAGGAAAAAAAATTTGTATAACCAATTAAAATTTAGGTTATAAATGTTTACCTCTTTTATCTTCACTATAACTGTTTTTTCTTGGCAGATCACCTTCTGTAATGATTTTGGCCGGTTTGATCTAGAAGTGACAACTTTCCAAATGGGTGTTTTATTTGCTTGGAATCAGAGGCCTAAAGACAAGATCTCATATGAAAGTTTAAGATTAGCCACAGAATTACCAGACTCTGAACTTAGGCGAACTCTTTCTGTAAGTTCACATCTGGTTTTTTTTGTTTTTTCTCTTTTTCCAGACTTTTTGTTCTGATATTGAAATTTAAAAAAATATTCTTAATTCTCTGTAATTTCTTTTAAAAGAAATTTTAAATTACCAGCATCTGTAGTATTTGTGGCAAATAGCTTCTCAGATAGTCAGGAAATCGGTTGTGCTCCTTTCAAAAGGGGAGAGAACTTTTAGCAGTAAAATTTACCTATACCATTTCATTTATCATTACACTTGTTTTATTCATTATTCAGTTAATTTTACACTTTAAACTTTGATATCCCAGAAACCTACTAATTGATCTGAATGTTGCATTTGAATAATTGGTTGAAAATATAGAAAAAGGATTCTTTTCTATTCACATTAATTTCATTGTTGAAATGCCAGTCATTTATCTATTGCAAAGTTAAGAATCAGAATATATATATATATATATATATATATATATATATATATATATATATATATATTTCAATACTGTTTATTCTTTGCTAATAAGATAAACAAACTTGTCATGTCATAAAATATTGCTTGCAAAGTAGCTTACGGTTTTACTTTATAATCACAAATCTTGAACTGTTTTTTATAATTTTTTTTTTTTTTTTTTTAATATTTTGAGATTTATAAGATTGACACAAACCATATCTTTAAAATAGTGCTTAATACTCATAGAATGATTCTGATCTAAGAACACTAGCTGAAAATAACTTTCTAATAAATATATGTTGTATAGAAGATAAAAAAAGGAATTGATAGTCTGTTCATCTTTAGACAATTTAGTAAAGATTAAATTGTATCATCTAAAAAAAATTACTGGTAAGAGAATGTCAAACCATTTTTATCTAAAATGTTAAAATTGAAATTGTACAAATTCCTAAATTTTGCTACTATGTACCCCACCCTACCTCATTCACTTCAGCGAATGTAAATACAATGCCTGCAAGTGCTAAAGATTTTTCACTTACAAAATTTTGTTTTTAATATTATTATTATTATTAGTAGTATTATTATTAATTAGAAAAAAAAAGTAAATTACATAGATTCATAAAAACTCTGCATATTTTAGAAATTGTTGAATCCAAATTGTTTGGAATGTTTCATAATATATGATAAATATTGAGAATGTACTGGCAGAGCATTAACTATGCCTCTTGCTGCTGCTTTGCCTGCAATCACAATGAAATAGGCAGCATAATTATGAGAAGATAAGAAGCAGAATCTTGTAAAATATTGGAAAAAATAAATAAAAACTCTTCTATGCAGATGTTTTCTCATATATAAATATGCATCTAAATATCTAATATGAATTTAATTTTAAAATAAAACCAGTAGGGATAATTACAAAAACACATTTTTTTCATATTGATCAGCAATTTTTTTTTTTTTTTTTTTTTTTTTATTTTATTTTTACTTTTTTTAATCTGGAACAGAGACACTACAAAATTATGTAACAGCTGACTGGAATACATCCCATCCAATTTTAGCATATATTTGAAGAAATCAGATTGACAAATTTGACAATCTAAGAATTGTTGATGTTCAGCAATTTCTCCTTTATTTGATAGAAAAGTTTTGTTGATTGTGTAACAATTGTATGGAAAAGGTTCTTATTGTACATCCTCTTGGTTTTTCTTGTTCATTTTGCACCCCCCCCCTCTTTTTTTTCTACTTTGTTTATACATCATTTATTTTTCTATGGAATACACACACAATTTGTATAAATTTGAAAATATTTTTGATAACATTTCTGAAATTAATTTCTTTTTCTTTTCTAATTCAGTGATTTTGACACTTTTATATTTGATACATTCTGTTCAATTTTATACTTGAACAATGAAACATTCTGAGTGTTGGATATATTTTATGGACACTAGTTTTATTTGTATAAATTATTGATTATATGTAGAGCTTATCTATTTTTTACTTCTCTCTTTAAAATAATTTATAAAACTTGTTTTTTCAGTCATTTGTTGCATTTCCAAAATTGAAGAAGCAAGTTCTCCTTTGTGAACCAGAAGCCAAGTCACCAAAAGATTTTGAAGATAGCACACAATTTTGGATTAACCAAAAGTTTGCCCTGATGTGAGTCTCTTATTTACATTTTCTTTATGCATTCCTTTGGCATTTGTGTGAGTGAGAGGTTTCATTTAAGTCTTTTTTTTTTCTCTCTCTCTCTCTCTCACGGCTCCTTGGGTCTAAACATAAACTGTTTGGAATTTATACTGTTGATTCTCTGGTAGTATATTTTTTTCCTCTACACTTTTTAGTCATTGTCTGCATTTATGCTTTTGTCCTCGATTGGATCTGAGGAGTAAGGAGTAATGACCCCCCCTTTTTTCTCTCTCTGATATTCTTCAATCTACGACTTTATGGAGAGTATTTTATCTTCTTATCCTTGCTCTTTGTTTTACATATTTTTATATATACTTTCAAAATGTGATTTTAAAGCCCTAATAACATTTTCTACACCTCCTTCCTCCCTGGATTATTTAAATTAATATCGATAGAACCTTTTATCCAAATCTCAAAAATCTAAACGTGAACAAAAATGTTTAGATTGTAAGTATCAAATATGAAACATTTATACACTGCTTACTTTGTTATCAGGAGGGATAAATTGTGTTAAGTAGCAATGCAAATTCTTATTCAGGAAATGGATATTAAAAATTATAAGTACCCCCACTCTTTAAAGAATTAAAATTACTTTAACTGTATTGTTATTTTGAGATATATAAAATGGTGCTGATTTTGTTACATACATGATTCAATATTTGTAAATTACAGAAAGAATGGCAGACCACAGAAACGAGGTAGAATCAACCTTGTTGGTAGATTGCAATTGTCCACAGAGAAGAGTAAAGAGGAAGATAATGAAGGAATTATGCAGCTTAGGATATTGCGTGTTCAGGTTTGTATATTTCACTTTGGTCATTTAAGCATTTCACTATTGTCATAAAAATGTTTCACTACAACTTGGACATTTTGCTTTGAAAGGGAGAAAACTGAGAATTAGTTCAGTAAAAATATTTAATGTATGTATTCAAGGAAGGTTCTACTTTGAATCATCTAGTGCTTGAGGCATCTCTAAAAAAAAAAAAAGAAAAATATCAATGGGATTTGATCAATTTTATTCCTAGTCCTCTCTCTCTCTCATATATATATATATATATATATGAGTCTGGTACCATATTCTGTTTAAGTAGGTGTGAAGTTAAAAAGCACTTTTAATCATTTTGCTGATATATTTTTAATGCTACTACTTTCAATGATTACAAGGGAATTAGAAAAACAAAATCATCTGTCTTGAGCTTTTCAATCCTAACAGCATATGTGCTTCCCACAAAAAATCTTTTCAAACACTCGCAGGTAAATGTTTTAGGCACAAGTACATTTAAAATAGATTATTATTTTAACAAGGAAATATTTTGTGCAGTTTATATATTTTTATATTAGACTAAAAAGGGTTATAGAGCTTTGTCATTCCAACTAATTTGAGAAATCTTTTACATATGTTTATCTACTTATATATTTAAAAAAAAAAAAAAATAAATAAAATAAATAATAGACTTAAAATGGCTTGAAGTATTTTGATACAATTCTGTAAACATTTTTATTCTTTTGTTCACTCATAATTGTTTGAATTTGTCTTCATTTTTTTTTTTTTTTTTTTTTTTTAAGTTCATGCTGCAATATATTTTTTTTGTTTTTGTTCTTGACAGGAAGCCATAGTTAAAATAATGAAGATGCGCAAGAAAATCACAAATGCTGCTCTGCAAACAGAACTTGTGGAGATTCTAAAAAACATGTTTCTGCCCTCCAAGAAGCTAATTAAAGAACAGATTGAATGGTTGATAGAACACAAATACATGCGGCGAGATGAAGACAATATTAATATGTTCATTTACATGGCTTGATTTTTTTTTTTTTTTTTTTTTTTTTATCAAGAACCCAAATTATTTATGTTGCAGCTTCCTCAGCAACCACCACCACCACCATATTTTCCTTCCTATTTACCTTCAACTAAACTATACTTGCCTGCCTGCCTGCCTGCCTCTTAGAGCAAATGGACTAATACTTAATCCAATCTTACTTGGCTGCTGGTTTCTCAGTTCCTAAAACTATCAGGATTTATTATAATTATTATTCCTACTACTTAACATCAAATATCTGTTGTATGTATGTATGTATGTATATACTTACATGTGTGTGCATGTGTGTGTGTATCTGTATGTGTGTGTATATATTTACTCATGCATACTTACATGGTCTTAAAGCATATTGTGTATATTGGAGGGGGGTTTTTTTATCAGGAGGCCTTTCTTCCATTCTTTATAAAAAATAAAAAAGTTATAAATTTGGAAACAGGAAAAAAAATCTTTGTCCAATTTTTTGTTTTGTTTTTTTTTAATTCTCCCCTCCTCAATATTTATAAAACAATGATTGTATATAAGTTATCTGCTTTAAAAACATTTGAAAGATACCATACGAATAAAAATTGCACTTTTATTTTTCTCTTCCATCTCATACAATGTAGTATGAAATATATTACAGTTGACTTTAAAAAAAAAAAAATATTTTCAGGATAGAAACTAATTAAGATTATGGACTAAAAAAATAATCTCCTTTTGTTCTGAATCTTAGAGAATTTAGACAAATGAAATTTCAAGGTTTTTGTCTCTCTCTCTCTCTCTCTCTCTCTCTCTCCCCACTATTTTTTTTTATTATTATTGGAATTTTAAAATAGTATTTTAAAATGTTTTCTTTCCATCTTTTTTAAATTTACAAATTTATTAAGCTTTCTATATTTTGAAAAATTCTTGAAAAGTAAAGACAATTTTCAACTTTACTGGGAAATATTTGAAATGTATTTGCCAACTTTAATGAAGGCTCCTGATTATCTACTTGTCTTTCTTTCTACATTTCTTTTCAAATGTTTTTTTAATTTCTTTCCTCTAACCCAAAACTAATCCCCCCCAACTTTTATATTGTTGCCTGGATTTTAGATATTTTTCTCCTAGCCATTAAATGATTAAATTTTAAAAACAAAAACATCAGGATATTTTTACAGTAGCAAAACTACCAAGGAATTGTTTGATAGTTTATATTAATTGGAAATTTTCCTGTTATGCTTATAATTATCACTTAGTCATTAGTTTTTTTTTCTATTAAGATTGGAATATAGCTAGTGTTCATCTTTGACGTTATTTTTCTTGCTAGTATATTGTTTCAAATGAATTTTGTCTTTAAAAATGCAACCAAGTTATGAAGTTGAAAATATGGTTTCTTTTTTTTTTTTTTTTTTTAATCTTTGCATCAGGTTGTCTAGAGCCAAATTCATTCAACATAAGATTTCAACTTTTCAGCTTGAAAAATTATTTTTTACCTTTCAAAAGTTCAATACCCATAATCTATTTGTAATGAAACTTTGTTAATTCTTTCAATCAATTTAAGTAATTGAAAAATGAGTCTCTTTTTTTAGAGAACACAATTCCTTTTTCTTTTATTAATATTTTTTTTATTATTAAATAATAATAATAATAATAATCATCCTAAAGAAGAATAAGTGATCAAGGTAATTGCAATTGGGAACAGTTGATCATAGACTTAATCTATAACATGGTCATGATTTTTTTTTTCCTTAAAATGAGAAAAAAAAAATTTAATTTAATCAATTCTGAAGATATATACAGACTTTTCTGTCTTAAGAATTTTTTTTTTTTTCCAACAAAGTTCATTGAAATTTTAATGGGAAAAATGTGCTAATTTGGTTGTTAGTTAATTTCTTTTGCAAAAATTTATTCAAAAATGTTTTTGACTTTTTTTTTCTTACAATTTCTTTCTAATTTAGTGAAAAAAAAAAAAAAAAAAAATTAGTCACAAGACAAACATGAAGGGTTATTTTATGCTCACTTGATCTGGTTATAAAATATTTGGACAAAAATGGCCACCATATTCTTATATGTAAATTAGTTAGGAAAATAAGTTTGTGCTTTTTTTTTTTTTTTTGATGGGGGGGGGGTACTATTTTTCTTTTTGACCTGAAAATTTTTTACTTATTTAAAGATTATTTCTTTGCTTTCTACTTACTTGAAAAATGTTTTTAAATTTCAACGTGATAGCTTGCTGACAAAGCTTTGAAGTGCCAACTATAGTTGATAATATTAAAACGTTATGGCATTTCAATACTGACTTAGGACATTTAAATCCTAATTTTGGAAAGTTTTTTTCCTTTTTAATAGTTGATGGCTTCTGTTTAGGAATCATGATATTTAATGATTGATTGGGGAAAATTTTATTTTGAAAGATATTGATCAAAAGCTTAGTGATCAGTAAATTTTCTTCTTCAAATTTTTACAGCTTACATTGTACAAATCTGAACATTTTGACACCAGATATAGTCAAGATGTGTAAATCTAATTTTGCTTTGAATAAATTAACTTTTTACTGACTTTACAAAAGGCAGCAATTCAATATTTACTCTCATAAAATGAAATTGGGCTTGTGTGAGAAGTTCTTGGAGTTAGTAATCATATTCAATAACAAAAAACACAAAAGATATGGAAGTTTGTTTGTTTTTTTTGTTTTTTTTTATAGCTGAATGTTCCAAAAAGCCACACCTTTTCAAAAATGGATCCTGTTATTTTAGAATTTTGGAATCTGCCAATGTTATGTTACCATGTTTTTAAGGTTGGCTTTTTATTTTTTTCCTAACATTTTGAACTGTTTATTTTAAATAGTTCCTTTATGTAATTAATTTATATTCTTCAGGCTAGTTTGTTTATCTTACAGTAATTAAGTGATACTTAACATTACCTTTAAACTCAATAATTTTGTCAATTCTACTTTAATATTAGAAAATGGATATGTCACCAAGGACGATTAGTTTATTTCAGCACTATTTTTTTTTCAATTTTATTTGCATTCTATATATATATATATATATATATATATAGAATCTGTTATAGTTTAATAAAATGCATTTAAATTCACTTTTTTCCTTGTTAGATTTAATGAAAATGTGCACAATATAAATTAAACAAAGTAACGTACTGTGGTGTAATGTTAAATAGTGATAATCATTTAAGAATTCCAGGTACTGCAAGTAAAAATACCAATTTACACCTTGTCATTAATTATGTCCTTTGATTGATAAATTGTGGTATGATGATAGATCCTTTGCAACTTGCTAACCATACAAAAAAAAATACTTTCTCTTTAATACTAGTGTCTCTTTCTCTCAATTTTCCATTCTCTCCAACTTTACTAAGATTTGCTTTTAATTGTTGCTTTAATTAACTTTTTACTATTTATTAAAGCTTATATTTGACTAATGGATTTTTTTTTTTTTTTTTTTTTTTTAACTGATCATTATGTGAAATCCTATTTTTTTAATATGTACTTATTTTTATCTGAATAAAACCCTCTTTAGTTGGAGATGTTGGTGTGATCAGTGATTGTCAGGATACCAGTAATTGATGAGATTTTTCTCTATTAATTTAAAACTACAAAAAAGTTGGTTAGTTTTAAATAAATTCTATTGTATATATTTAACAGCGATGGTGATTCTATTTGTATTCCTTTGCCCTTCTTTTTTTTTTTTTTTTTTTTTTTTTTTTTTTTTTTTTTTTAAATAATTTTATGCCTATACCACAATGCTTATATTTTGGATTAGAAACTGTTAGCTTTCTCACCAGTGCCAGGTTGGTGGTACTTGATACAAGTTCAGCTTGAAAGAAAACTTTTTGTCCTTCTTAATATTCAATCCATCAATGTTTTGTTTTGTTTTCTTTTTCCTAATCTTTTTGTAGAGAACCTTAAGAAAATTCCCTTTCTCCAAATTCAGAGTTAATGATGGAAGCCATTATTAGAAAATTTCTCTTGTCAAAATACTTTTCAAATTTGGATAAGACTTCTCTGTAAGTTAATCAGATTTGACCACCACTTATTCAAGACTGGAAAACTTCATTAGCTGTTTGAGGAAGCTTCTAAAAAAAATCTTAAAAGAAATAAACAATTTAGCAATATTTTTTTTTCTTTATTCGTTAATCAATGATTTACTGATAGAACTGTGGCAGAAATTTCTGCCATTGAGCTATACAATTGCAAATAATGGAAATTTAAAGTAAATGTTTGTCATTAAATGAAAGTATAAAAATATCAACCATGTGGAAATGACCCCTTTTTAAGGATAATTAAAGTGAAATGTTTCAATATGGGTTGATTTACACTTAAATTTAAGAATAAGACATTAAAAAAAGCTAGAAGATAATTCTGTTTGATGTATCTTTTTAGCAACAAATACCTCCAAAATTGAGCAAAAGTTAGAATACTGGGAATCTTCTGTATGTTTCTCTTTGTAGTTTTTCTCAGCATATGTACATACTTTAACTATTTGAGTTTATTGGCCTAAATTAAAAGGGACTGGAGCCAAAGAATAACATTTTATATCTAAATCTACCATTAATCTGCAATTTTTTTTTTTTTAAGTCCAAGGTTTGAGATGAAGAAAAATGGAAATTTAAATATATACAATTGATAATTTATTTTAGAAATTATTATTACCTGACATGAATTTTATACAATGCCTTGTGTTTTTTTCTTGCTTTTCTTTTCCTATTAATCAGGTAATTGTTTTTTAAAATAATTAATACTACCTCTGTCCTCTAATTGTTGTTACAGTGTATGAAATGTAACAACAAAAGTCATACTAAATTTTAAAATGAATTTCAGACCAATATTTATTTTATCAGAGATTACCAGAAGAATTATAATTTTAAAAATCTTCAGCTTTAATTATTCTTGACACCATTCTGGTTTTCTGTGGGAAATAAATTTGATTCTTTTACATTTATTGAATCACCGATCATTATATATATATATATATATATATATATATATATATATATATATATAT